AACTCTTGCCTTGTCACAGGCGTTGTTCCTGCATGGTGCACCAATGCGTAGACCCTCTTCTTTTGCTTTACCAGCTTGTTGATCGCGCCAACGTTGAATAGCAGCCTGTGCTGCAGGGGTTGCCTCTACCTTAAGTGGTGATAAACATGCAAGCCAATGTATCTGAACACGAAATAATTTCCAGGGCAAACCCCAAGATAGCATAACGCAAGGCAAATGACAAAGAAAAACTTTAAAGAATTACAGAATGGATCCTACATCACAGAGTGATTCAAGTGATAAACTGAGATCGACGAAGAAAAGGCCAAACCCGCCAAGATGGGGAAGAAAGGACTAATGAACTCACAGTAAGTGCGACTTCTTTTCTTTCCTCCTCAGCTTTTCGTTCAGCTGGCTTATTCAAACCTTTCCATACTATAACTTCTTCCTCCTGAAAATTTATAGTCTCGTAAAACTTTGGCAATGCTATATCTGATGAAGAGCGAAAACTATCTACCTTTTCTGGCCGGATCTCCTTCACAGCTGCGACCTTGACAATATCCGCAGGTTTTTCGGGATTATGCTTTCCACGAGTACAACCTGGGAAGTTCAACCAAGTACTGAAGTCAGTGCTTTTCTTGTTGCAACAATTCCAAATCTTATAGGCATCATGGAAGTATGGTGGACCTGGATGATAGAGGCAGGAATCTAAAAAGATATTTTATGTCACCAAGGAGTTTGACAGCAAAGAGCAATGGTCGTGCGCTAGTTAAGATTTTAAAGAATACCTGGACTGTTTGTGCTAGGATCAAATTTTTGTCCACATCCCTTGTTATAGCACTGTACCAGCGTGTCTTCGGCAGCTGATATGTCAGCCGGCATAGCCCTGAAAAGCAAATTCGTTCATAGAAAAGCGAATTAGCCTTGAAAACAGACTCTCGGAATTCAAACGAGATGATAATGATTACTAAAGATATATAACAGATTGATGATAGAGACAAAAAGAAAGTTCCGTAAAGTTCTTCAAATTCCAAAAACAACAATCTATTATTCTCACAGAGCATTTTTGGGATTCTACCCACTCATTGACCAAAAAGCAGCAATATAAAAACAAGGAAAAAAGTTCAGGTGAGGCGGAGAAGAGAAAGTATTAAATGGTTAGAATATTTACCTTTAGATCTGAAAAATAGAGATTAGCTTAGAAAACAATTGTTTCGATGCAAAAAGATCACATAACAGAATCAAAAAACTCCTAGAATGGACGGATGAGCTCGAGACCACATAAAAGCTTCTAAAGACAGCTGGAATTTTCGCGAAACCGTCAATTTTTTCACCAAGAGTGCACAAATTGCACGTCGCAGACAACGCATTCGATCTGACGACGAACCAGTCAGCTGTGCATAAAAGCAAAAGTGATTGGCGTTGTGGAACTCCTAAAGCATATTTCTAAGGATTGTATTATCCATTAAATTTTGTGAAGATTGCTGGTTTGCATGTTCTTTAGGATGCTTATCTTTAAACTTCCCTTTATTTATAGGACAGAAAGCAGAACGGGAGGGGAGGAGGGAGCCGCGAAAGGCTATCTCCTAATTCCTCCACAATCTTTTGGCACTTCCACTTGTTTTCCAGCTTGCATTTTTAGCCCATAAGCAGAAAGTCCCTACCTGATTTTCCTTAGACAAAAAGTGCTGCTAAAGTAGAACAAGAAGGTGTTCATTTACGAGGGTTCCTACTTTTCGCCTTCCACCCTCCGCCGAAGAGTGTGCGCGATAAGATGAGCAGAGGACGGAGCCCTGAAGTGCCACTTAACTCCCTTCGTCAGACACCTT